ACAGCACACAGCAGAACTGCGCCATCACCTCCTTCCTATGCTCCCCGTCCTCCTCTTTCACAGCAGCTCTCTGCATTCTGTTTAATAATTTATGCGCAACGCAACGGATTATTCAGTATCTATTTTGACCGCGTCGCTCGCCCGCCAGCGTCTGTTCCACAGTAATTTATGCACCGGCTTTATTTCCCTCCCTCTCCTTTGGCATCGCTACAGCCCTAAGTACCATCTATCAATCTCTCCGTCTCCTGCTTCCGTCTCCCCAGCTCGTCTCTCTCCCACGGGCCGGACACCACCGGAAGCCTGAAGTCCTTCTGCTGTGATTCCATTCCGGCATTCAGCTGTAATTCCATTTCCCTTGGTGCTGACGGGTTAGATGTTGGTGCCGGGGTGGGGGGGGCAGCCTTGCAGAAAGCCCACGTGTGTTTTTTCGGTCCCTGTCTGGGTCAAACTGAAACTGCTACCTATCCATCTGTTACATAAGTTATACATCAGCACAGGGGGCCATTGTACGGTTTGACCCTTGGGGGGGGGCTTGGCGCTGAGTAGGGTTGCCACTTCCAATCAGATGAAACACAGATGCCGAGGGGGGGAGGGGTGTTATAAAATTTATATGAAATGTGCATGAAAATGTAGAACAAATCACTGAATGGATTTAGAAAAATCATTTTTCATGGGGAGCTGACACAAAAAGCACGACGGCTGAAGCGTCCCTCTAAACAGGGTCTTGAATCGCTTTCATGGCATTTCTGGGCCGTGGTGCCCCTGAAATACAAATGAAATGAGGTGAAAGATGCCTTAGTACTGCACCAGAGGCTCCTTATCAGGGAATTTCTCTCTCCAAAGTTTCTACCTAAAAACATCACAGCCTTTAAGTCAAGTAAAGCTGACCATTAAATCCCAACAGTCTAAACCCTCCCTTCAAACTGTTGGTATCAATATTTCCTTTCAAATTCATTGGATCAATTACTATCTGATTAAATATAACAAAATCACCATTTATAAAACAAACTCTGGCTAAAGTAACTAATTATAGCCCATCTAAGAGATGAACATCCTCTGTAAAATTAAGTCGCACTGTGTACCACTATCTTTCTAAGAGATTCTTTTGCAAAATTTAGAAGAATGTTCTGGAAAGCGCTGCCGGCGCTTAGTTAGTGCACCTGACGTCGTGGTTCTGCTAAAAGATGTGTGCAGAATCCGCCAAGCAGACATCCATCCATAGACACAGAGAAGGTCTGGGAGGGGCCTTGCCCGTAAATGTCATCTGTACCACCTTCTTTCAGATGTCCCCATCTTCTCAAGACCTTTAAAACTCTAAAGAACCAATCAGGACTGGGGAGGAACTAAAATAAACCAGGAATCCCCAATAAGGAAAGAAGGAAGAGTTGAGTAGCGTAACTGGAATTGAGGGAAGGGCTAAAATTGGAGGCTTACCTTCCTCTTCACTGGATTCCCGCTGCAAAGGGCTATAGAGCGGGGTAATAGTGGTGCTGCTGGTAGGGACCGTGGTGCTCTTGGTGAAAATGCCGCTAATGAACTTCAGCATCTTGTGGTCACGGCCGGACGCGCGCTGTGGGTGACCGTACGCCGCCTCGCTAGCCGCGCGGCACTCCTTTCCCCGCCGCAGGTCCTCGGACAAGGAGTTCAGGTCACTGTTGTCCAGGGTGCGGCTCTTACCTTTGCGGGGGGGCTTGATGACCTGGCCGGCCGGGCCCGGCAGGGAGGCGGAACCAGCCTTCAGTCTTTCGGGACGAGGGGCATCGCGTGTAAACGACCCTCTTCCCCCCATCACATTGCCACCGTGAGCTCTCGCCTTCTCTTCGGTCCCCATCCATGACCCCCGGTTGAGTCCCAAGGCCATGACTGCCTCCAAAGCGCTACCCACATCGCTGCCCAAGTCCTGGGAAAGGGCGGGGGCGCTTCCTCTGGCCTCCTGCCAGCTTCTATCACCACGCTGGGCTCCTGGTAGGTCCATCGGCCTCTGGCTGAGTCGCAGAGGGATGGCACACTTATTTGGGGTGCGATTCTGAGATCCCACGTCCACAGACCTCCAGGGTGGCACTGGTCCCAGTGGGGCTTCCGGGGTCCTGTCTGCACCCCTCTGGACCTCTGCTTCCCTCCCTCTGGCCTCCAGCCAGTCAACTCCAGGGCCCTGATCTGGGGTCTTATGACCGCCTCCTGGAGACACTCTCTCCACCACAAACCTCCTCTCTTTGAGAAGTTTGTCCTTTTCTCTCTCTGCCCCGCCAAAGCCGTCTTCCCCTTCCAACTCTGCATGGGCCCTTTCTCGGCGACGTTCAGAGGAGGGCATATCTCTTCCCTCCATGGACCCCCCAGGCCTGCCCCCATGGCCCTCTCCTTTTCCAGGGGCCCTGGCTTCATCCTGCTGGTCCGCATCCTTGCCCAGAGCCTCAACCTTCACAAGCGTGAGGGAGATGAGGTAGGTCGTGCGTCGCTGCTGTGCGCCGGCTTGGCTCATGTGGTCACACTTCAGCAGGCAGACCTTCTGAGCCGGGAGATGTGGGAAAACTCATAGTGAGGAGGAACTGGACTGGAATGGTCAGCTAGATAGATAGCTTGACAGTCAGCTTGTTCAGAGAGGTCTGAGGAGGATTCAAATCCAAAGTGAACATAGGACACGGATTATCCTGAAGTTACTCCACATCCATCATGAAACAAGACTGAAGGATGACGGACAGGTGGAGAAAAAGAATGATCTTCACTGAAATGTTGGCCCATAAGAAAAGAGGTAAGAAAAAGAGGAGGTGATTCACCCTACGCCCCCACCCTTGGTTTGCCTTATTCTTAAGTTAAACTTTGTCATGGTTTGTTGTTCTTGAGTATTGACTCCTCCAGTCCCTCTTGTGTTAATGCATAAATTCCCCTAATCTGTCTTCTGTCCTTCCAAGAGGGTCTCCTTCTCCTCCTAAAACTATGACTATAATCTGCCTTTTCTGTTTTCGCGCATCATTATTTCACACTACCCCTCTCCTTCAGCTGAATTTTTTTAAGTGCTGGTTCAGATACTCCCTTTTGATTCTGAATTGTAATCCACATAGAAAATTATTCAAAATAAAATAACATCGAAATTCCAAAGCGAGAAAACACTCAGACCCACTTTTTTTTTAGAAGCTTTAAGTATCGGCGAAAAATAATCGGCAGAAACAAAGAAGGTGGCGTAACCAAGGAATCACCTAAAACGACGCGGTTACGGGGATCCATGTCCAACGTGCTCCCATAGCTAGGAGCTGTAAACACGCTTGTCTACACGCACAACGCCAGCATCCGTCCTCATCGTGCCCAGCCACAAGGAGCGTCTTCCCGTATGATCTGTGACAAAGCATCTATCCTTCCCAGATGATGGAAGTGAGACGCGGAGCTGCACAGGGAGTGGATCGCAATGGGAGGGCGGGGGGGTGGGGGGACAGGAGTGGGTGGCGGAATTCAAAAGGTGACATTCCCAAGCAGAAAGAGAAGGACGGCTGCTTCACGCCGGCGTGCCCATCCTCCGCGCCGTCTCCACTCCCAGCGTCGTCGCGGCGATTAATGAGTCGCCGGGGTCCGTCCGTGAAAGTGCCGCCACACTCGATTCCTACGCCGACAAGCCCCACAGCCCGGATTCCCAAGAGACAAGAGCACAGCTGGTCTGGGACCAGAGAGACAAGCTGAGAAAGAAGAACAGGAATCTGACGGAGAAAGAGGTGTCTGTGATGAGCCTCTCCTCCGAGCTCTCCGCTTGCCTACCAGTAATCCTCCTCTTTATTCCAATCTCTCTCTCTCTCTCTCTCCCCACTCTCTCTCTTTCGCTCTCTCACACACAAAGCAGTCTCCAGGCAGTCCCTGCTGCCTCTCTCTCTCCCTCTCTCACACAAGGCAGTCTCCAGCCAGTTCCTGCTCTCTCTCTCCCTCTCTCTCTCTCTCTCTCTCTCTCTCTTTCCCTCCGTCCTCCCTCTTCTCCTCTCTCCCAAAAAAAAGGAGGAGGAGATGAATGATGCAATGAAGAAGAGCAAGGAGATCAAACGTCAGGACCTGCAAATAAGCAAGTGAATAGAAAGTGAGGGAAAAAAAGATGAATGATGACAATGGAGGAAAAGGGACACCAGGGGGACAAAAAAGCCCCAGGGTCGAGGTAG